GATACATTTGATTGATGTTGCCATTCATTATAGTTATTTGCCTACCTAAAGTAACGTAAAAATGTAATTTTAACTCTTTAATACTTCTCTTACTCAATTGGTACTTCTGTTCCAGGTCCACCTCTACTTCAGCGCTCTACCTGAAGACAAAGTTCCCTATGTGAACAGTGTGGGAGAAAGATACAGGGTGCGTCAGCTGCTGCAGCAATTGCCTCCTCATGACAACGAAGTGCGCTACTGCCACGCTCTCAGCGACGAAGAGCGGAAAGAGTTGAGGTTGTTCAGCGCCCAACGGAAGAGAGAGGCTCTCGGAAGGGGCGCTGTGAGGCAAATCCCTGGCACCATGAGATGTGACCTGGTGAGTGTTAGTGTAAAGTTGATGTGGGTTAGTTGTAAATGTTGTGTAAAGCCATCGGGCACATTCTGAACATTAGCATAAATTCACATTTTCTACAGCAGATCGAGAACTGATTAGGAAATGTACTTTATTCTCATCAGAAATTGCCTGAAGTGATAGTTAGCTAGCGAAGACAGCCAATATGGGTTCTTTGAATACGACCAGGTTCCGAGGGTATTTTTTATGAGAATAGAGGGCCGGCAGTCCATAGCGGAGTCCGCAACATGATCCGAGAATTAATGCGTCGTAAACGCGGTCATTACACGTCATATTTGCGATCTTTAATACTGCAGCCGGTTATTAAAGCACTTTTATTGATAATTAAAGAGCGAGTATCTTTCAGGTGGACACCGTCCAATCCGACTTGATTTAAGACCGACTTTAATTAGCGCTACTCGAGGCTTTAACTTTAACTATTCGAGGGTGGTCGTTTATTTGGTCTTGTGTATCTTTGCTGACTAATGCTATATAATTACCTGAAATCTTAAAAATAAGAACAAATGAGAATATTTATAGCTTTTGTATTTTAACTTTTCGTTTTGTCTTGATCGTTAGCTTTGTGGCGATCATTAGTCGCACTTATTCTTTATTTATAATGTCTATTTTGCTTATGTAATTTAAATATAACGCAGCTGGCGATCAATTTAAAAGCGCAAAAACAGATGCACTCAGAGAAAATAATTCACAATGGGCTTAGAGGATGTGCGGCAGAGAACTTGGAAGAAATCAGTTAATGATAGTGAACGTTAAGTTTTCCAGAAAAATCATTAAATGCAATTAAAACTAATTGAACAGTTACTGCTAGAATTTTCTCAGGTCTACGGAATGTTTTCCTGAAGAAACGGAGAAAATTGCTATTTACTAACCGGTTAAAGTGAAAACAAAAAAAAACGTTTCTTTGTAAATAGACGATTTCGATTTTGGCTTGAGGAGTTTTGCCATTTAAACTTACTTTTTTTTGCTACAGTGTCAGAGAAACCGATTTCTTCAACTACCAGATACTGTTTTTACGTATACATGGAGGGTTTTACCTTTAAGGGCCAAATGTGGCAAAACTTAAGCAAAAATACGATATCCAGGACATATTTTTTTGAACGCCGATAACTTCAAGCTGAAGCCATAGCATAAGACGGTACCAATGAATACAGGGTGTCTGAAATTGCAGTGATAGACAAAACTTACTTTTTTTATATAAAATGCCGTGCTTTTTATTGACTTAAAAAGGTACTGATTTAAAAAGGTTGCAAAAGGTTTGAATTGATGGACAAGACATTTACAATCCATACAAGATTTCTTCGCATACTTATGCTTGATTCTCTAACGGTTAAATGAATAATCTAGAAATTATTCTTCGCTTACATCGCATCCCCAATCCAACACCACTGTTCTAAAGGGTAAAACGTCATAAACCAGCTGGTGGAATTTGGAAAGAAATTGACAATGAAATGGCGCTCCTTTCTCTACGAACAATCGCCTTTTCTAATTATCTTTCGAAGGAGGCGGCTGTCGCCTTAATGGAAACCAGGGGTGGCAATCAGATTTAATTAATGAAAAATTTTAATTACAGAATTTCGCTAGTGTCATTTTGGGGTCGGAATTGTGAGTGTATAAAAGCGGGCCACGTATTGACAAAATTTGTATTAACTTCCGCTGAACTCCAACTTCGAAAGTAATTGTTGAGCTGTTATTATAGCAGTATTAATTTAATTTTTCTGGTTTCATGAGAGAATTTGTGTTTATTTCATATATTTCAGTAAAATGTGCAGTTAATTACGTGGAAAAATAATAATAAAATTTAATTGGAAGCGAAGAAACGACTTATAGATATCTATAAAGCACTTACTGTAATTTTTTTTTTCAGCATGTTGTATTTTTTTCAGTAAATTTGAAAAGTTACTGATAATTGTAAGACCCAATGAGAATCACTTGATCATAATTTTTTTAAAATACATAAACATCATACACTTAATGATCTATTGAATTATTTCGAAAAACCCAACTGACTACCTAAGCTTAATAGAACTTCTGATACTAAGCAGTTTTCATTTAGTTTCTAGGTTAATAATTAAATAATTCAATAATAATTTCTAGATTAATTCAAATACGAAAGATTAAATTATCATTTGCTTGTCAAGTTACAAAAAGTTCATAAATCAAAAATATTTTTTTGTACAATTGTTTTGTATTTCTACTAAAATGTTCCTATTCACAGTATCACAGGGATAAAACGGCGAACTAAAAAATGATTTTATAAAAACCGCAAATTAGAGGTGAAATGTTCAATCAATTCGTTTCCTTTAAATTAAATTGTTGTAAAATAATGTTTTAAGTTAAAATATATATCTGTCGATGTTTAATTGAAAACGGGCAGAACAGGCTTTATTCATACGCTTCCAAAGTCTGAAATTAAATTATGAACAGAAGTGCAAACAGAACCAATACAGAAAAAAAGAAAGAAAATACAGAAAGTGCGTTTCTTAATTTTAAAAAAGTCAAGTAAAAGAAGAAGGCATAAATCAAATGACTGATATGATGATATAAAAAGAATTCAGTAGATATAGACTCAAAATCTAAGATCAAAATGTCCATAGTTTGATTATTTTGTATATGAGGAGYTTGARRWACAACTTTYAAATAT